TTCAAAGCCCTGACTGACTGTGGAACCTAACAATCTTACCTCAAAGATTCACTACCAAGTGTATGAAGTTAATTTATTCCCGGGGAGTGGGTCCTGTACATTTAACCCTTTCAGCTCTGGAGGGGTGGGTGGGATTTTTTTCTCTCTCCAGCACTGATGTGGTTAAATTATTTTTGCTACTCGAGCTTCCTACAGAGAGAATTGCCTGCAGGTCTCAAGTGGTGAATATCTATTTATATTTTGTTGGCGAAGGGTGTTATAATTAATTATTCTTTTTCTCTCTGATAAGATTCACTATTTGGTAAATGGTGGTTACATTGTTTTCCATTACTTTTTGGGAACCGTGGGAGAGAGGAGTGGTCAGCAGATTTGGTGTAAATAGTTATAATTAAAATATAAAAAAAAAACTTTCTAATTTTCTGTTAAAGAAAAAAAAAAAAAGAAAAGTAATAGATTTGTATACTTTTTTTGAAAATGTGAAAACATCTTACAGAAAAAAATATATATACAAAAACCATTATTCTGTAACAATATCTTCTATACCAGTACCACACACTGTTTTCATGAAAATGTTTTGCACAAGCAAGAATAGGTTTAGGTTTAACCTTTGTCTTGCCAGAGGGGTGTACAACACATTTTACTAACCCCCCTCTTGCATACAGAGGCTTAACCAATGTGAGTCAGGAATTATCCCAGGTGGTTCTTATTCATGAATGTGTGTGGCTAGAAAGCACAGCCTAAATACTGAGTGACACGTGTCTATAAGAGTCATGTGCTATCATTAAGTTCAATGGTAATATAATGCAGAGGTGCTTTGGGGGAACTTTTAACGTCTCTATTGTTTGGCAGTGGATGTTGTCAACTGCATACAGGTGTTTTGCTGGAGATGGCTTTGAAATGTCAAGCAGACTTTCTTTAAGGACTAACGTTGCCATGAACTGATAGACATCCATGATCTGAACTCAAAATAATCTGATGTCTGGTAATTGTAATATCACTTTAACAGGTATCCCTAATTACTCTGCTGTTTTAAAAATTATCTTAACCCCATAGCAGTTTGCTAAAATACGTATACTGCAGTCAGCATTTGTTCAGTTGTTCATCCCTTGCATTTTCAGAGGGCTTCATGTTTGCATGAATAATCTTCTATTGGAAAATATCTTGCTCATGTGGTCCACTATGCCCCTCCATGCGATTGTAAAGAATTACCATTTGTGTTACTATTACCAGAATAGCATTGCTGGGCTCAATCAACAGTCATTAACATCAATCTTGTGATGAGGAGGCCTGACTATAAGTTGTTCACTTTGGTTTCTTAGAGGGCTCAGACATCACCCTACGAACATTAAACTGGGCAAATATTTTGGAAATTATGAATCTAAAACATCAGGGGAAAAAAAAAATAATACAAAAATCAGAAACCTTATTAATGCAATCTCTGCAATCCTAATATAACTGGTTGGAGCATATGCAACATTTTGATATCCAAATGGCAAGAATGCAAAAAAGAGACTGTTCAGTAATAATACTTTAGTTTGCATCACCATTCAGTTTCGTCTTGACTAGAGCATTCTGCACATTTGTCAAAGTCTGCATCGATATAAAAGATTTTGAGATGAGTACACCATGTTTTTTTCAATAACCTGAACTAGTGTGCAGTGAAATGGACAGTATTAAATACAAATATTCAACCTCTGGCTACAAAGTTGCCGTGAAGCAGTCTATTGGTTGCAAAATTCACCAATCCCAAACCTCCGAGATTCTGCCACTGATGTGATTGCTAATACCAAGGACATAGAAATGCCATGAAACATCCAGACTAGCAGGAATTGGAATTTCTTAAATAAATGTGCAGGAAGGAAAAGTATGATGATAAACTAAACCTTTTGGAATTTCATCTTGTGACCCAATCTGCCCAGCTCTGTAAAACAATAAACTATGTATTCTCCTTAATCACTGTGTCATATGCGATGGCATGTAAGAAGTAGGCCTTTTTTTTCAGAGGGGCCTTTTACTGGACGGTGAGAAATGAGCCTTCTTAAAGCTCATTGCTATTGTTGGATTTGTTCACTTAATACCATTAATTTTTATGTATCCATTGCATAGGATCAGCATGTCGTATAGCAAAGTGATGTCCCTCTACTACTTGATCATAAGTTCATGGTTCTCAGCGAATATTTAGGGATTTTAGAGCAGTGTCACTTTTCTTACCTTACAAAGACTTCCTTCATCGATCCATGTATAAATGTGTGCATGTCCTTAAAGATGCAGTCACACATATTTCTGATATACCATAGTCCACAGTTGCAAACCTTACCCCTTAGTTGTATTTGGCCTACTATTCCAATAGTTTTGTGTCAAAGAATTATGGGAAAGTCCAAGAATGGCTAGCTGGCTAAAGTAACATAAGAACCTTGGACTTGCTTATTCTGTTCTCTTTTGTTATTATAGGAGGAGCATTTTTACAAAGTGTGTTAAAATGTACCCATATCAGTTCAGAATAATGTCCGATGTGAAATGTAGAAATTTCTAATTCTGTTTCGAAAGGTTTTCTTTTTGGTGTAAATACATATAGTATTGTTTATGGTATAGGCACTTTTCAATGCAACTGTGTACAGAACCATTGTTTTTCAGTGTTTAAAGGACTCCAAGGTAATGCGTTGTGTGTCAATAGGTATTCAATTCTTTTGGGTCTGCAACAAGATTCGAATGGTCTCTGGTACTTTATTGGGTGCTACCATCTCCAAGTGCATGTGTATTTCACCCAATTAAAGCTTTCTGTGCAGCGTATGATTTGAAAACAAAAGTAACCTGATACATATGTACTACCCTCAACAAGGAGAACATTCATTTTTCCATTATTTGCTCATACTTTTTGAATGTTTTTAGGTGAGGTTGTGAAATTGATTATAAAGAATCTTTCTTTGCAATTAATCGAGCTGGCCAGGACAACAATGTGTACATGCAGTTGTTAGGTATGTATGCAATAAATGGTAGTTTACCCAACATGTTAACATTTTAACTACATGTAGCAATAATAACCATATTATTACCTAGGTATTGCAAATGCCCCAAACCCTTCCTTGAATTTTATATTCCTCCCACCTATACAGCTGCTAGCCTGCACTCTTCTGTGCAGTGAAATGGACTTCTACAGTCCCTGTGTGCAAAGCAGAAGAATGGAGTATAGAGTCGGTGGAAAATACCAAGTGAAGATCTAATCACAAGGTGTAGGGGAAAAGAAGTGTAGTTTATTACATTTTGCTTTTTAACCAGTCTATATGTGTCATTGAGGGGGGGGTGTAGTCATGTGACCCCTTTCTGTTGATGTGTCCTGGAATCTCCAGTATCAGATGTGATTGGAACTAGTGAAAGAACAATTATACAATTTTCAGCACAAGTAACAGTTCTGTAAAGTAGTCCATAACTATTAACTTAAATCTGTAAAACGTTAACATATTGATGGTTTGAGATTTTAGTTTCATTAAAGCACCCTTTAAAGGTGACTGATGCGCTTTGGCCTGTGTCTGGTGCCCAAGCATCCCAAATAGAAGTGTCATGCCAAGGGGTGCATTCAGACCTCTTTTTAAGAAAAGCTTAGTTATAAAATCAGTTTAAAAAAAAATAAAAATAAAAAATATATATACACACCACACACCACCCCACCCCACCGTTCCCCTCATCACATTATCCTGAGACATCTCTCTGGCCAGATCTGCCTGAATGCCTTATTATCTCAGCTGTCATGTGGGAGTTGCATGGGTAGGGATAAGGATTTTCCCAGCAACCTTCCTGTTTTACAGGATTTCCGGTAGAGTGTTTAACGCTCAACTTCTGCTTCTATCCTCAGTAAATAGTGGCCTTGTTAATATTCACATAATTTATAATTATATTTTATTCTTTACTGTGGGAAGCAGCAAAGCACATTCAGGGGGTGACATGTCTAAAGCAGTAGCGATTGTGGGTGTTCTCATTTCTCGCTGTATTATTCACATATTCTGTTTAATAAAAATAAGCAATTTCAAGAGTGTCTATTGTGGGCTTTTCTGGTTAATGGAAACCATTTACAAATATCAAGTATTTCAAAGTATTTCTTTTTAGTGTAAGGTGCCCATAGCAACATTGAGTTGCTCACATTAAAGATTTGATTTAATTGGCCTGTAATTGCTCCATTTAAAATCCTGTTGATAGTTTGGTATACTAAATCTCAGCAGTAGCTTTTGTGTACTATTTCTATGCAGTATTGTATGATTATGGAAGCCAGATTATGGAGTGGTTAAATTAATTGACTTTTCATTTTATGCACTTGTGATATGTCCATATATAGTTAATTTAAGACTTTCTACCTATTTAACTAAATTCTAATTTAACAATGATTGAAAGGTTAAGCACCCATAACCGTTTTTATTAAGGCAAAATAAGTGAAATTGATATCCTTTTGCGCCTTTACCCCCTTCAATCTTTGGTAAAACAGATAGTTCTGCCAGACTAAATTTCGTATGTGGCTACAACAGTCTTCTGGTAGAATCTGCAGTGCTTCAGTCAACCATTATTGGTGTTAGCAGGTTAACGTGGACAATCTAAACACTGTAACCGATAAAGCTGATTGTAGTGCTTATGCAGCAGTCTGTGGATAATGTCTTCCTGGTTTGTGTTAAATGGCTTTTGTGTATTTAGAATGAGAAACGTGGATTATTCTAGCCTAGGTGAAGAAATAATCTTAATGACACGAGGCAAACATTTGCTTAACTTTCTTTACTACATTCAAAAGAGCACCTTAACATGGCAACAAGAGAACCAATAGAAAAACTGCATTCAATTCAATATGTCCCCAAAAGCCACTTTTTTTTTTTTTTTATGTAAAAAAAAAACAAACTCCAGAATAAACAAGAAGAGTAACACATGTATAATTCTTCAAAAAAAATATATATATATATATATATATATATATATATATATATATATATATATATAAAAAAAAAAATTCCAATGAAAAGAACTGAAGATATCTATATCAAACTGAATCCACCAGCAGATATCACAAGAGATTTAACAAACTACATTGTTTCTTTTAATATACTATTAAATATTATAATAATCTAAACACTATAAAAACAAACCACTTGTCCAGCTTAGCCAGGGTAGAGGTCTGCTTGTCCTGATAGTTGGCTGAACATGTGGCCTGGAGATGATGACCAATTGCTGTGACCAATCAGAATGTCAGTCAGGCACTGACCCCACCACCCATTTTTACTGTTTTAATGCCAAGAGAGAATTCCAAGCAGCCCATCCCCCGCTGTGCTGTTTGGGCTAATTAGGAAGGGCCCTGATAAAGGAACAGTGTACACCACAAATAATACAGACTACTTAAAATTCTCTATCTTTACAAAATATTATGGGGAGTCTGTTACATTATGATCTATATTTTGCATAAACTTTATGGCAGCACTACTGCTGAGAAATGCATGTCCATGTGTACCACCAATACCCTTGTTTCTCAGTGTTAATGTCAGTAGTATGAATAAAGTTATTGTCCTGCCTCTTCCCTTTGAGCATGTAGCTAAGTGCTATACACTTTTGTAGTGTTATTCTTTGTATACATTGAACCGTTATCCTGCCCTCAGAATTCAGTTGGCAGCAGGATATGATGGATGTAGGAGGGATGTAAGAAACTGAAGGAACCTGGCTTTGCTTTGACAGAGCTGAAAAAAACTACAAACTCTTGGAGGCTCAAGTTCTTGGAACATCTGTGGTTGATGAATTAACAAGGAATGCATCCTGAGTGAACCAGCTGATTTAGAAGATGAGAATGAAGATAAACACAATTATGGGGAAGTATCTTCTGAATTGATTCAGTATTAGATTATTAAAAAAATTCCTTTAATTATAAACGGAATGATGAAAAAAAAGTGCTTCAAATTCTTAGATTATTGTGGAAGTAAGGGAAATCCCTGAATAATTTTGTTTATACACTGATCTAATGTCTCTTCGTAAAGGTCAAATGAGTGTGACTATATCACATGTGCAGCCAGCGATTACACATTGAGAAATGCTGGAGAAATTTTAAGGAGACACCATAGGCACCTAGACCACTTCACCTTGTTTAGGTGGTCTGGGTGCAGTGTCCCTGTCCCTTTAACCCCTTAAGGACACATGACGTGTGTGACATGTCATGATTCCCTTTTATTCCAGAAGTTTGGTCCTTAAGGGGTTAAAGGGACTCTCCAGTGCCAGGAAAACATATTCCCTGAAGGTCCTCACATAGTGTCATTTAAAACACTTTTCGTGTTCTAAGCCACTAGAGGAGGACTTAACCCTGCAAGGTAATTATTGCAGTTTATAAAAACTGCAATAATTACACGTGCAGGGTTAAGGATGGTGGGAGTTGACACCCAGTCTACTCCAATGGACAGAAGAGGTCTGGGTGCCCGGAGTATCTTTTTAACCATGCATCTGAATACATTGCAGGTTTAGAGAATGTTTTCATTGCAGTGTTTAAGATGGCCTTTAGAGGCCTTTCCTGCTGTTTTAAGGAGTTTAGCTTTGTAAAGCGACGCTGGACATCCTCATGCTTTGCATGGGAATGTCCAGCGTCTTCTAAATCCCCATAAGAAAGAATTGATTCGGTTCCCCTTTGCAATGATGTTAAGAGACAGAACCAGCGCTGATGGACCCTGTGATAACAGCAGTCGATGATAAAGTACATTGGGATTAGAAGGTATGTAGAAGTAAACTCCATACAGTATACAATGTAGCATTAACAGGAACCAGGTATTGTAACAATATTGGTTACAATATACCAAGTGATGTACTCTTGTGTAAATAGCAAGCTGTCAAGGTTTTTTATTTAAACATAAGAAAAAAATAAATAGCATAAAGGTAAAAACAAACTTGCAGTCGTATGGCCATTGGTATGTATACACTTTGCTATGCAAGAGATGTCAGTGGAATCGTTTTAAGTACCATTGTTCCATTTGCCACAATTTAAAAAAAATAATTTTTTTTTTAATTTTGAGATGAACGTGGCAGTATGGTACGGCTGTCTGTGCCAAGTTTATTTGCGTGGAGGTTTTGGTGGTAAAGAACATTTGGAGACACATAGAGCCAATGCCAATAGCCATATATGGCCATGAATTGAAACAGTCCAAAAATCAGGTGCGGAATAACATTCTGCAAAGCATATATGTAAATGGCGTAGAAGCAAAATTTATACTGTACACAGCATCAAAAGAAAAGGTACAGAAATGAACACGAAAGATAAATTAACCGAATCCCCCTGCAATCTTTTTACAGTTCTCAAGACAGAGTACCCTACAGTCCTGTTTCCTGTACATATTACTCCCACAGGTCCCACACCTTCTGAAAGGTTGTAGTGGTGTTGCGGACATGTGATGTCAGCTTATCCATAAGGTAGTTGTCTTTTATCGTGGCTACTACCAATGAGTGGGGAGGGGACTCCGTATTCAACCATTTTTGTGCTAGGGCTCATCTGACTGCTAAATATATCATGTTGAGTAGTTTCTGTTCATGACTGGGGAGTATGTCAGTAGGCATGGATAGTAAGCATGCCCATGGGTCTAAATCTAAAGTCCTCTGAAATATTTTTGGAACTTCGCTCTACCACTTCTTTCTAGAAAATACTGACTGTGGGCCATCTCCACCACATATGTATGTAGTTTCCTTTTCAACACAGGACTGCCAGCAGGTGTCTGTGGGGCCAAGTTTCATGTGGTGTCATTTAACTGGGGTGGTGCATCACCGAATTGTTCAGCAATTTGAACGATTGTTCTTGGAGGGTTACGCGGATGGAGTATTGTGTGTATGCCTCTCATATATCCTGCCCTTCTGGCCCAGGTCGGTCTCCCACAGATCGGTATATCAGAGGTTTCCCCACTCGTTGATCTCCTCACTGAGGTTGCTGTACAGGAGGGATATGAGTTATTTTGGTGCTTTTCTTGAAAGTACTTTTTTTTTTTTTTTTTACAATTTAAGTGGTTGGGCTGCTGCTGCTCATACCTCAAACTTGGTTATGAAGTCGTGTATTTGTAGTTACCTAAAGTAGTCCCTATTGATGAGTGGGGCAAGCTCCTTGAGCCTATCAAATGTGACTGAGGCTTACTCACATGACCAGTGTACATATCTTTGGAGTCCTGTGTGTTCGATACCCCTAAAGTCTCTAGCGCGAAACCACGTGGGTAAGGCCCTATTGTGGAGCACAGGTGTCATCGGCGATGGGAATTTACTAAGTGAATACTTTTGTGCTACCTGGTCCCACAGTCTAATAGAATTTAGTATCACTTGGCAAGTAGTTTGCGGAAAGGCCATATTCTCTTTGGATAACCAAATAAAAAATTGGGGAGAGATAGAAACATAGAATGTGACGGCAGATAAGAACCATTCGGCCCATCTAGTCTGCCCAATTTTCTAAATACTTTCATTAGTCCCTAGCCTTCTCTTATAGTTAGGATAGCCTTATGCCTATCCCACACATGCTTAAACTCCTTTACTGTGTTAACCTCTACCACTTCAGCTGGAAGGCTATTCCATGCATCCACTACCCTCTCAGTAAAGTAATACTTCCTGATATTATTTTTAAACCTTTGTCCCTCTAATTTAAGACTATGTCCTCTTGTTGTGGTAGTTTTTCTTCTTTTAAATAGTCTCCTCCTTTACTGTGTTGATTACCTTTATATATTTAAATGTTTCTATCATATCCCCCCTGTCTCGTCTTTCCTCCAAGCTATACATGTTAAGATCCTTTAACCTTTCCTGGTAAGTTTTATCCCGCAATCCATGAACCAGTTTAGTAGCCCTTCTCTGAACCCTCTCTAAGGTATCAATATCCTTCTGAAGATACGGTCTCCAGTACTGTGTACAATACTCCAAGTGAGGTCTCACCAGTGTTCTGTACAATGGCATGAGCACTTCCCTCTTTCTACTGCTAATACCTCTCCCTATACAACCAAGCATTCTGCTAGCATTTCCTGCTGCTCTATTACATTGTCTGCCTACCTTTAAGTCATCAGAAATAATCACCCCTAAATCCCTTTCCTCAGATGTTGAGGTTAGGACTCTATCAAATATTCTGTACTCTGCACTTGGGTTTTTACGTCAAAGATGCATTATCTTGCACTTATCCACATTAAATGTCAGTTAACACAATTCTGACCATTTTTCTAGTTTACCTAAATCATTTGCCATTTGGCTTATCCCTCCTGGAACATCAACCCTGTTACATATCTTAGTATCATCAGCAAAAATCCCATTAAGAGATTTGATATCTACCCAGCTCCTGTGATCAGGGGGAGAGTGCCAGTGCATAATTTGACCTAGTTGTGTGGCTAAGTAGTAGAGGTACATGTTCAGTAACCCCAACACACCTCTATCTTTGGGTCGGTATAGCAATTGACACGCGTTTCTGGAGTGCTTCCTCTGCCAGATGAATGTGTCTATGGCCTTTTGTGATCCTGCTAAATCCCCTCTAGTGACCTGCATCGGTAGGCCTTGGAAGAGAAACTAGTCTGTGGAGGATGTTCATCTTCACTGAGTGAAGTCTGCCCAGCCACGAGATAGGCTTATGCGTCCATTGCTCCAGGTCCTGGATCAGACTGTGGAGCATCAGAGGGGGGATGTAATTGCGCTTATATAGCTGTGTGTGTGGTCTGCTGTAAGTTTAATGCCTAGATGGGGAGGGTGTTATCAGCGAAGCGTAGCTTATATGTCTCTCGCATCTGTGGCGGGGCCGAAAGGTGGAAAGGCATTGCAGTGGATTTAGCCAGGTTGACTGTATAACCCGACAGCTTTCCAAAGTGACCTAACAATTTAGTGAGGTGTTCCATGGAGCTGAATGGGTCTGTGAGTGTAAGAAGAATGTCATCAGCATATGCTGATGCTTTGAACTGTTGTCCAGCTATATTCACTCTCCATATGTGTGAATGCTGTCGGATGGCCTGTAGTAGTGGCTCTAGGGAGAGTGCGAAGAGCAATGGAGACACGAGGCAACCATGCTTGGTTCCATTCCGCAAGGTAAAGGGGGTGTGATTGGCCCCAGTTATCAAGGTTTGTGAAGAGGGCTCGGACAGCCACCACATAGGGTTCTGGAAAGCCCCATGCCTGGAGCAGGTTAAAGAGGAACGGCTATTTCACCCTGTCAAAGGCCTTCTCTGCATCTAAGAGAAGGCTTTCCCGAGCTAGACATGCACCATGTCAACACAGCTCCCCTTTGGGTGTTCTCGTAGAGCTGTCTGTCTGGTAGAAACCCCACCTGGTTGGGGCGGACCAAGCGTGTCAACAGTGGATTTAGTTTGGTAGCCAAAACTTTGGCATAGATCTTGAGATCCAGAGGCGTAACTAGAAACCAGTGACCCATGTGTCTCACCCCCCCTCTCCCCCGCCAGCCCCTCCACACACCTCATTCTTTCCCGCCCACCATGTTGCTTACCCTCCAACCCGCCATGTATCTCCCCCACCCAACTCTTCC